GCGTTTCTTTATCGAACTTTTATCGACTCTGTTTTTTTCTGTTGCGCCACACGTCTATCGATCGATATATATCGTTATTGAATTATCGCCCAACCCTACCTCAACATATTGTGTAACCATTTGGAAAGCATAGCTAAAACAGTCCCCTTATCCCCAGAGAAAATAGACCTTTATCTTAACTCTGAGAATTTTTCTAAGCGCTTTACGTTCCTAAGTCTGGCATGTACAGTCTGGCATGTACCATGACAGGTAGTTAAAGCCTAAATGATAAAACAGCCAAATTGCTGCTCTCTGAAGTGTAGAGTGCAGAATAACTTCTACATGTCAGTAAAAAAAAAAGTATTTTTTATTAATAGCTTGTTGGATCGGTTTCCTTCGACTTAAATTATGTTTACGAATGCTAACTTTTAGTAGAAGTAACCCATCTATTTATCTGTGCAATCTTATAGTACCATCTGAAAGAGATCAGATTTTCAAGTTTCAATCAGGTCTCTCATCAGAGCCTATTTGGCCAAATATCAGATGTCACCAGCTGATATCTTAGTGCATGTCCACTTTTTACATCATGTGTGAACACAAAATCAGCCATCAATTTTCCTAAAATCCCATCTACGCTCCCCCTTCTCCATAGGAACCAGTGAAACCAGAAGATGGACGGGATATGGCCAACAGGATCGGGGCTTTCGGATACATGGAGTGCTCTGCGAAAACAAAAGACGGTGTGAGGGAAGTGTTCGAGATGGCCACCAGGGCTGCACTACAGGCCAGGCGGGGAAAGAAGAGCAATAAATGCGTCCTACTGTAAACTGGGGCATGAGGACTGCTTCCTGCAGGGGGTAGAAGATGGAAATTTAGGTCAACCCTACCCCCACATAAACACAGACTGTTCTCCCCTGTTTTTACTAAAGGTGTAATGCTTCTACTGTTTTGTCTTAAGCGAAAGTAGTCAGGTCATCAGTATTCAACTTTAAGGTTATGGAAAATACTTTTTGTACTTTTAACACAAGTAAAATTTGCCATAATAAGAAGTTCCTTAATCATGTTGTATGTCCTTGTAAGGGTCAGCCCAGGGGCCTGTTGTGTCATACTTGCCAACTACAGTAAAGTGCTTAAGCCCTGCCTGCTGATCTAAGGAATGTGTCCACGGCCAACTAGGGTGAAGTACCTACACACTGTGACCTGTAGTCCTTTAACCATTTCAACAAACTGATGCATACACTGAGTCTCAAGTCAGCATTTTGCCTCATTAAAATAAATCCTTGGGTGCATCATTATACTGGAAACTGGTTTTGCTAAAAACACAAGTGTTTGTGTAATAAATTACTTTGTAAGAATCCTGATAATTTGCTTGACTTGACTGAGAAACACTGAATGAGAACCAGAACTTAAATGTAATACCGGCTCTTACTTTTTCCTGGGTTCAAACTTTTACTGTTGGCCAGTTTGTTTTTATTTTTTGCATAAGCATTTTAGTGTCGGTCAGGGGTCCTGGCTCAGCCATAGTGCAAAAAAAGTGCACACATAAGGCATGGTGGGCATTACATGTTAATACAAGCCAATCATTTAGCATTTTTCGTCTGTGGAGCCTGACGCTTAGGCTAGGGACTAATTTTTGCGGAAGCAACTTTTGATAAGCCCTGGAACTACTTCATAAAATATAAGTTATATGTAACAATCATGATGTTAACAGTTTGAAAAAATAAACTTGTCAGTGCTCCCTGGTGGACAAAGTAGCTCCTGCTGTTTCTTTTTTTATCCTCCCCACAGCCAGCATCTGTGATGATATATCCAAATAAACTGCTCAGACATGTATGAAACCTTCAAAATTATTTATTCATCATACACTTAAAATGAGATCTTGCAGTTTCTTGAAGTAAAATGCTACTTTATCAATTTATTTCAAGTCTTAGCCATGCCTCCACAAGGAAACAAAAACCTATATGCCATTTAAGAATGAGGTATACTGTAAGAAAAAAAAAGTTGGCTGCAAGATAGAAATGTTTCTAAACTATCAAGCTTGCACCTGAAAAAAATTCCTTACATTTGGTATTAACTAATATCAATTTGATCCTAGGAACTCCCTTTTTTTTATGTAAGCTACAAAATGGGAACCTGACTTCCAGTTGTGTTGATTCAAGAAAGTTAAAAAAAATAAAAAAAAAATCTGCATATTTACTAGATACTTACTCTGCAGAATGATCCTTAACATGAAAGCAATTCAACACGTGAATATCACAAATTGTTTGTGTCAACCTGGTCGACACAGATTATCTGTATATGATGCAGCAGAGCAAAAACGCAAACATTATCATACTCTCAGGTAGGGCTGTTTGATATGGCTTAAAACCAAAATTAAAATAAAATTCTCCTTAGCTTCATCATAGAAAAATGCCAGTTATTTAAAAATCACTTCTGGGAGTTGAACGGACTTCAATGGTGTGAATAATGCTTGGAAAAACAACTTCACAGGCCCTGCCATTTGGAAATATGACTAAATGTTTGCAGCTAGTGGTTTTATGCAGCAAGATAGGTCGTCTGTTTTGATGGACGATGCGATTCTGAAATAAAGCCAAAGAAAGAATTCGTAAAAGAAAATCCCAATTTCCCAAAATTAGATGTTCCTAAAGAGAAAAATTAGGTTGATAAAATCCACTCCTGACTAGCATTCAAATCTGGCATTTTTTGTAGGTCTGGATGAGTACTGAATAAATACCTAGTACCTCCAGGTCACTATTTAATCTAAGTTCCTTCTTTTACATTTCAATTCAATTATTTAACTGTTTTCTTCATCTATTAACCCATCTGTTTATCCATTCATTAATCCAGCCATCTGTCAATCCACTCACGTATGTCCATCCTTTTATTAGTCCTTCCATACATTCACCCATCTATATTTCTCTGTCCATCAATCCAATCATGTTTCTGTTCATTTATGATTTATCCATCAATCCAATTATTTCATAGAAATAATAACAGAAGCGTGTAACAGGTTTGGTATTTCTACCGTAAAAAATCAGACAAGAATAAATTGAAATAAGTTAAGTTTAGTCCAGAATTTGTATTACATGTGGCCATGAGTAGGAAACCTGTAGAATTTATTTGAAGCTCTTTATGTTTTCATGAATTACAGAAACAAAATACCAAATCCATCACCAAGTGAGACAACACCTTCCTGCAGAGTTCTATTTACACTGAAAATATAAACAATGTGGTGCTTTTATTCTTCAATACATTTCTGAGAGGCCACATCAGGGAGTGAAGGAAACACAATCATTTGTGTTTAAGGTGTTCTTTTGGAGCAGACATTTCTCTAAATACCACAAAGTCTGTATGTGAGCAGTTTGGAGCTCTTCTGTTGTACAGATACAACCAAGTTACAAAACATAGCAAGAACCTCACTTCAATAGTCATTCGTTCTTCTTTGGTGGGAGACCAGAATGGGCCAGAAACACTGGGAGCAAGGCGAGGGCTCCTAGAGCAGCTGCCACCAACGGTCTGTAGAAAAGCCAACCTATTCCGATTACGAGAAGAGACACTGAGCAGGAGAGGCACAGGGCGAAGATCTTCAGGCCGACTGAAACCAGATCTCTGAGGAGAGGAACCCAATCCACTGAAAGCACAAGAACAACCAAGACGATGAGTGAAGGATGCATGCATGATAAAAGCCCCTGTGTGCTGTGGCTGCACACCTATAGTGAGCATCAATTTACCCAGTGTGTAGAGGATACGTGTACTCAGCTGAATGCTGATGAACATGAGGGCCCAGCCTGCAGCTCTTAGTCCCCACGTCTTCATTTGGTTGTACTGGTGCTCCTTGGCAAAAACTTCCTGCCGATGGAAAAAGCTCAATAAGAAAAATCTAAAACTTAAAAAAGAATAAAAGGGGGGATGATATAAATTCAAAAACCAAAAGTAAATCCACCCTGACCTCTGCAGTGAGCTCTTCCAGGTAGATAATTTCCAGAAAGTCTCCAGACTTTGTTTTAAATGGCAGCAGCTTCTGTCCTCGTTGCATGGCTACAATACTGACCTGGAAAGAAATGTAGGCCCTTTAATTTCAACAAAGACAATCGAAGGCAGAGAAAATTAGATCTACTGAAGCTTGGTTTTATTCATTTTAAACACTGACCACCATTTCTAATGGTAACATCTATTTTCTCTGCTTGTGTGAAGGTTTTACACTCCATGCCTTTTTATGGGATTCATTATTCAACTTAAACATTTCTCTACTTTGAATCAGTTTTTCATAAAAAGAAAGCCTACAGATGACACACTGCCTTTGACATATTTTCTGCTCCAACTGTTTTATTTGTTATACTACCTGCTTTTATCATGTTTGTATCTTTATTTGCTTTTATTTTTCTTCCATTTTATTTTTTAATTTGTGTAAAGCCCTTTGATATTTCCTTGTACTGAATTGTAAAAATAAACGTGCCTTGCCTTCTGCAGCAAATAAGAAAAAACAACCTCAACTATTGAATGGAAACAAATAGAACTTAAAGCACCACATTGTAAAGATTTGTGGAAACAGCTTAAAAATATATATATTGATTTTTTTATTGCGGAAACATAATGTCATACCGATAATAAAAAGCCATATTCAATCAATAATTGTTAACTAGATCACTTGAATCATATGAACTTGAAGAGTCATGAAAAAAGGGATTTTGATGTTAACATTATAGGGATTCTTGTAAGTATAAATATTGTTTTTAAAAAGTTAAGTTTCTATAGTTTTTTTTAATCGTTCTAGAAAATAACATTCATACGACCTGTACAGCTCAGACAGGTCACCAGTTCATTGCAGGGTATTATTATGACAATGTATTAAAAACTTTCTGTATAATTGCCTACCCTCGTTTCAAATTCCTTCCTGTTCAAAATTATCTGCCATTTCATTTGTCTTTTTTTCATTTTGTTCTATCATATAAGAAACAACTAAGGTTTGTTTGCAATACAACAAAAGGAAAACATTTCAAAGGCAGCATACATTGGTAGGCAATTTTAAAAAAAAAAGTAAAAAAAAAGCAACCTAAGATCTCTGTAAGCTCAGGCCTTTTATTCAGTTGGACATATTTGTTTGCTAAAGATGTAGTTAGCAACTGATTTGTGGTTATTAGTGTTATAATTGGAGTACCTACAGTTAGTGGTGGGCCAAGACGAGTGTTCTCACCACTCAGTCCAGCGAATGAGAACCTCACACGGACATCCCCAACCTGATGGAATAAGAAAAGAAGAAAAGAAAAACAACAAAACATGAAAGAAATTGACAGTGAATATTTATGTAAAATCAAACCATTGAGGCTCACCTGTGGCCTGAGGGGAAACTGAGTGTGATAGAAGTAATCATCGTGAATGGAGAGGAAAGGGTCCAGATTAATGGCTGGGTAATCCCTTAGGCTCAGAGTCTGAAAGTTATTGATCTGCTCCACCAGGCCTAAGGAATAAATCCAAAATCAGAACTCCCAAATTTGAGACTCAACGTGACAAATTTTTACAGAATCAAATACCTTTGGACAGAATGAAAGGTCCCACTTGAACTTCATGAGCCACCACTGTCACACTCTCAACAGGCATAGCACTACGGATAAAAAAGGGAGTTTAAATCCCCCTGGGTGATAAAGAATCGCCTGTTCACCTTTAAAACCTGCCAGTACCTCGGGTTCTGGTGGCCGATTTCCTTATCGAAATTACGACTGTTGACCAGCTCCGATTTCCACTCCGTGTCTAAAGAAATGAAACATGGCGTCTCACAACAGGTGGGGGTTTTGATACAAGAACAACAGCAGGTGAGTGTTGACACAGAAATATTATTTAAAAAAACAAAAACTCACTGTAAGTGTAGGTCGTCTCAGTTTTAGTTTCCCCATCCTCTTCATAGTCCCTGAAAAGATGTTAAGAGTTTAGGTATGTTGGATTCTTATACTTGTTCCCAGTCTGAGAGCTGAAATAGCGGAAACAAACATACTTGCTCTCATGGTGCTCCACCCACTGATACATCTCCACCTGCCTTCTGAGCTTCACAGCCTGAACCACCACTCTGTAATTAGGGTCATGAAGGGGCTGGGAGACAAAGGCATGAGCACTTAGACATGAGATTCAGCTTAATGTCCCCAACATGGCTTTGATCTTTATCACATTGTCAATGCAAAAGAGTAAACAGAAAATGTTACCAAACATAAAAAACAAAATACAAGAAGAAAATCTATCCAAAATTTTTTTTTTGAATAAATTATCACAACTTTTTCTTACTGTTTTTTTTTATTTGTTCCTCAATTTTTCTGTAATATTTGATTACATCTGTTTGCAGTTATTTATAGTTCTTATTAAAAAAAAAACAAAAATAAAAGTTGCAACACTGATAATTATTTTTCTAATAGATTCATCCGTCAACCGTTGTGTTTGATTAAGTGATAAATAATCAGACAGCAAAAGGTACTTCAGGAAATAATTTTACTGATTGGAACAAGGTGAAGCTCAAACTATGTTACTTAAGGACTTCTGGGTAGAACGCATCTATAAACCAATAAAGGTTTTCATTATACATACAAAATGCTTGTAGTTTTTGTATGCCTTTGACATAATTACTGCTCTTAAAGGGTTGGTCTTTCAGAAAATGGCATTGGTTAAAGGGTGCTTTATTACTACTTCAGTTGTCATTTATTTCAGTAATTGATTAATGTGATTGTTACAGCCATAAAACAACAACAAAAGTTTGAAATTTGAGGTTGTAGAAGAGGCTTAAAGGTATCTCATCAAACGTAAACTTACATATCGCACAGAAATCTGATTATTCTGTATTATTCTGATGTTATTAAAATTATGCAAGACAAATTAACTGACATTCGGATGGAAACCACAACCTAACCTAACCTGCTAAAACACTTAGTTTCCTTTTTTTTCCTACATCAAGTACCGTGGATGTCTTGATACTAACGGATCAACCAAGAGTAGCATCCCCTTTGCTTCCACTTCACCATTTACCTTCACGCAATTGAATAATTGAACTTCTCACACTGGAGAAATATATCTCTGCATTTAACCCATTTTACCCTTTGGGATGCCAAAGGTCAGTGCCTGGGGAGCAGTGTGGGTTTAAGGGTCTTGCTCAGGAATCAAGAGTGAAGGCTATGGGGTTCGAACTGGGTAATTGCACCCTTCTCAGAGCACACCACTCCCTCGCTAAAGACATGAAAACATACGTATGTTGCCTACTCATCACCACATTTGAATTTACCTGCAAACAATGATTTCCGATTCAGCTTTTAGATACGATCATAATAACTAAAAGGAAATTAGCTAAAAGTACAGAGTTGACATGACAGCCTACCTCTAGAGTACGTAGCTGTGCAGACAGATGAACTAAACGGTCATTGTTCTGGAGGTCCAGGCTGGAATAAGACCCCAGCGATACAACCTGAGAGAGACCCTCATCCAAAGAAGAAGCTGTTTGTAGAGTTCGGCCCTAAAGGAGAGAAACACGCAGAAAGAAAATATTCTAAAACTGTGGAAATGAATTATTTCACGCAGCATCCGCTGCAAAAGCAACGTGAGACACTTTGAAGCAACCAGCTTCACTCTGTCTCTTACCTCATTGGTAAAAAGAATATAGATGGAGAGAAAAAACAGCCCGATACCAAACACTGTTCCTCCAGCTGTCTCACCCAGACGCTCCAGAAATCCAGGTTTGGACTTAACAGAAACACGTCTGTGTTGGTCAGAGTCTGGACCTGAAAACTTAGTAAAGGCAATGGCACACACAGTCAAATAAAAGCAGAAGAAATAAAAACATACAGTAAAAACTTATTAGTGATGTAGAGCAATTTATCACTTTACTTGGATTTAGTTTTACATATGCATATATAACTGGGGCATGTAACAAAAGTAATTTCCCTCTGGGATTATTAAAGTATTTCTGATTCTGATTTCATCTCCCAGTTTTACCTTTCCAAAGTAAGAGGGCAAAAACAACAGATATTGACCATTAAATTGGTCTATGGGAAGGTAAAGAAAAAAGTTAACCAATCAGGTGTTAGTCTCTTTAACAAGCCATTAAAAATAAAGCTGGTGCCATTAATGTAGATGTTTAGGGGCCTATTATAGAACAGACATTATAAAAAAACAAAGTTAAATAATTATCAACTATTTTGATTAAAATATTTAATTAATCCAATTCCTCAATTGCTATTTTAATGTTTAATTAGTGATTGTTTACATATAAAAATATTACATAAAAAGGTTCAGCTCTAAAACTGTGCTCCTCAGAGCTTTGTTTCAATTTGCACACATATGATCAGTTCAATAACAATTAGGATTATATATTTATATGTTTTGAAAATCGGTAAATGAATGTTTGCCACTGATAATAAATGTTACCAAATTTGGTGATTGGGCGTATAGTGGCATACGATTACTTCCTACTTGTTTCATTGGTCTTTTACTTTACTATTATACAATATTGCCCCTATAAGTTGTTATAAGTGCACATATTTAGAATTTGACCAACTGTGGCATTAAAATTATAAAGAATGATTTTTAGTTAGACGGTTTATCTTAAATGACTGAAACTTGGTAAGGCGGTACTACAAGTTCTAGAACTGTATAAAATAGCCTGTAGCTTAGTAGATAACAAACTTAAGTATCTTCAACGATATAAAACTTCATTAAAGAAAATAATAACTCTCACTTTCTGTTCCGAAGACATTCTTTCGTTAATGTTACCTCTGCAGACTGGAATCACTAAAATGTTAGCAAACTGACGGATATACAAACGACTCCCCGACAGGGTTCGTTTTAAATTTAACTCGGACTGTCCCGACTCCGCCAACGAAGGGCGGTGTCATGGAGAAACACAGATGCAGAGCAGCCAGGGCCGCTTGGTGAAAAGCTACAAGCGTACTGTACAAACGTGTACAAACGTTTATGACCCTAATCTGACCTTATAAGCGTCGAGAACTCTGGGTAATGTAGTCTTTTTTGACATCCATTGATAACTGCTGCTTTTAGAGTGAATTTCAGTATAGGCACTTTACAGTTACGTCTAGATATAAGCAGGTAAATAAAAACGTGTGAAAATTAAACTGACTTATATTGAATAATGATTAAAACAACCAGGCACTTATTTTAAAGGGATATTTCCATTTTGTTTCCATGTAAGACTAATAATATTTTCTTACATGAAAATATTTAATCTATTATTATTGTTATTATTATTATTATTATTATTATTGTAAATATTATTATAAAAAGAGATGCATTAAGTATGTACATCTTCTTTGGTAAATAAACTTGTAACCCCTGCAAAAATGTAACTATTTAAAATGTTTTATATCACTTCTCCAAAAACTTTATATTACTAATTTATTTTTGTAGTAGTTTTATTTTTAATAGATTTCTGACCATGATGGAGAAATATTCAACTTTATAGAGGCAAAAAACACAAAGTCTCTTTTTAACGTATTATTATACGTTAAATAGAGACTTTGAGTTAGCAGGGACACTTTCTGCAGTACAGATAATTTTATCTTAATTTCTCTAAATACATATTGCTCAAAACATAACCTTTCGAAATTGATTATACTATAAAAATACATTAGGGAGTTCGTAATCTCTTTAAACAGAACACAACTTAGCGCTCTACTTCATTTTTGCACCATATTTATTTAGAACTGCACTAAGCCTTTAAATAGCAATGACTTTACACCATGACTTTAAAGTGGTTTTCCCTTTTTCTTAAACTATCTACATTCTTAATCACTGCTGCAGTTTATAAATGGTTATGTTCATTTCACTGTTGTAGGCTGCTCATTCAATGTTGTAAGCTGTATGCATCGAAATTTTATTCTGCATACACTCTGTTTATCCAACATGACAAAAGTTTGTCTAAGTTTAACATTGACTAAATATACAAATTTATACTTAAATGTCCTGTTAATTATTTTCATTCACTAATAGCAGTAACGTTATATAATACCATAACCCGCAGCTAGAATGAAACGTGACCTCTTAGCCTACTCATTCTCCCAGACACACAGTATTCATATATGTGCCCGTCATAAGAGGATTATTGCAAAGAAGAAAGCAAAGCAATTAGTCTCACAGGCCATTCTGTCTCCTGTTTCTCGACACAGACTTTGTAAACTGCCATCAGGGGAAGCAGCTGGGATTGGAGCAGAGACACCAACAGGATGCAGGAGTATGATATAATAGTGCTTGGAACTGGAATCAAGGTAAGAAAAAAGCTAGTGTTCATATGAAATAATCAACATGCAATATAAGGGAATGTGCATGCTTCTGTCAGCTCTCTTAACCTTTTTTTTTTTTTGCGGGGACATAGTGAAGAAATTGAATGCCATCTTCAAAATACTTTGTTGAAAGGAGTTAGCAGATGGTTCAGTAACAAATATGAAGAAAAACATTGACAGCTGTCATTTCTCTTTCCAGTTTCCTTTTTGCAGTCCTAGATAGAATATCTGCAGAGGTGGTATGATCTCTATGACTACAAATAACTTCAATTTCAAGGTCAAATCATAACTGAATGTTATATATCTGCACCAAACATCTTAAAACACGCTAAATGATTTGTTCTTTTTTGCTTTTAACAGTAGAATGGACACTAATAAAGAGAAATGTTTTGCTGGAAATTCTTTGACCTTTTTCCCCCCACATTTTCATGGACCATCATCCTGCAGACCCACTAGGCTTCCCTGAAGGGGATTTAATCAGTGACATCATGGCATTAGTGCTGATCTGCCTTTACACAAACTGATAACTGCTGATTCCAACAGCTTTTGACCTACTTCCCATATGCTTCCTTTTCACCAGGAATGTGTCCTATCTGGCTTAATGTCGCTGAGTGGGAAAAAGGTCCTTCACATTGACAAGAACTCATGCCATGGAGGAGAAAGTGCTTCTATTTCTCCCCTTGAGGAGGTTAGTTTAACGCATATTTCACACTGTAGACATGAAGCAGTTACAGTTTTAAAAATGTAATATATTTGAGGCATGTTGCTCCTACGGTCTAAAATCCTTTTAATGAGAAGCCAGAGCAAGCGTTGGGGTGATTAGTTTTTTTCTTCTGTGTAGAATAAAGAGGTGACAGCTGATCAGCGTACCCCAGATTTGACCTTTGAATTACCTTAACAACATGTCAACAAGTACCTCCAAAGTAATCTTGACAGACATTAGATTTAGTAGGAGCAACCTGTTATCCAACACTGATGGTGGGATAATGGAAACTTTAAGAGATTGATGTCCATAAAACCTCAAAAATGCCATGCCCAGAAATAGCATCATGTAAATGTGAATATTTTTTTCTTAAAATAAGTGTATTTTTTCTTGAATTAAGCAGGTAAGTGAGACTCTTTGACCAATGGAATAAGACAATTTATGCAATAAGTTATTTATTATTTCAAGTCCATAATATCTAATTATCTTATTTTTAGTTTAAATATACACCTTCCATTGGCAGATTATCTTATTAACCTACAGAAATTAAGAGTGAATGCACTTATTTTAAGAAATTTTACTTATTTTTAGACAGTTTTTGCAGCGTATTAAAGTTGAAATACATTTACGCTACAAAAATGATTTAGAAATTAGTGAACATTTCTTAAATTAAGTGTATTTCGTCTTCATTTAAGTGTGTAAAAGAGATGATTTGCCAATGAAATGAGTATTTTACTATCAAAAAAAGAAAATTTGATATTATGCATGTGAAATAAGTCAATGCAATTGTTTTTTTTTTCTTGTTTTAATGTAAATTTTCTCATTCTATTGGTAAAGTGTCTCACTTTCCTCCTCAATTATAAAACAAAAATTTCTTATTTTAAGAAAAAAAAAGACTTATTTGATTTTCAGTTTTTTGCACTGAAGCTTTCTGGTTTTGAATCGAAGGAAATAATGATTTTTCACCAAATTTCAGTATGAATACCTTGGGAGCGTTAACCTAATATTTACCTGCCCATGTTTGGCAGACGCAACTTTTCCTCTTTGCACAAAGCAGTGTACACCATCACTGGTGTTAAATGCTGTTTTTGTTACAGCTGTACAGGAGGTTTAAGGTTCCTGGCCCTCCTAAATCGATGCGTCGAGGGAAGGAATGGAATGTGGACCTCATCCCAAAATTTTTCTTGGCCACTGGTAAGTGTAGGGAATCTTGGCTTATTAGTAAAATTATTGTTTAAGGCTTAAACTAAAATCAAGTGATGTTTTTCCTTCAGGCCCTCTGGTTAAAATATTGGTGCACACTGAAGTGACTCGCTATCTGGACTTCAAAGTTGTGGAAGGAAGTTATTTATTTAAAGCAGGCAAACTGTACAAAGTCCCCGCCACAGAGGAAGATGCCCAGAGCTCAGGTGACATAGATCTGAACATTCAATCTGCCTCTACATTTAAAAATATGAAACAATGTTAAAATGTTTTATTTTCAGATCTGATGGGCATGTTTGACAAGAGGAGGTTCAAGAAGCTGCTGCACTTTGTTCAGAACTTTGACATAAGAAACCCCCGCACACACCAGGACGTGGATCCTGAAAAAACAACCACAAGAGAGCTGTTCAGCCGCTTCGACCTGGGACAGGATGTTATTGAGTTCACAGGTCACGCCATAGCCTTACACTCCAGCGATAGGTCAGTGAAGACCGTCAGTAAATCACAGTGATCTCAGACGGCTCAGAGGTCTCAGTCTTTGTCCATATTCTTTCCTGTATTGCAGCTACCTGGATCGGCCCTGTTTGGAAACCATAAACCGGATCCGGCTGTACTGCGAGTCTTTGTCTCGCCACAACACCAGTCCATACCTGTTCCCCCTGTACGGGCTGGGGGAGCTACCGCAGGGATATGCCAGGTGCGATGCAGACACTGTTTCCTTAAAGTATGTAGAGCATTGGCTTGAAGGACATGCCAGGACTTTTCTCTGTGGAATTTATGTATACCTGGTTATTATAATTTTATCTCACGACCCAGAGTCTTGCATGCCGGGTTATTGGCGGATTTGAATTGCCAACAGGAGTTTTTTTTTTTTTTTTGCTTTGATAAGCACCTTAATTTTTTTCTGGAACATCTCATTACATTAAATAGTTGTTTAAGGCTTAAGTGTTGATTTTTCTGCTATATTTTAAAATGAAATGTGTAATAAAGTGTGAAGACACAGAGATTAAGTACTAAACAAACATAGTAATAGTAATTTATTGAGTGCGTGACAGAAATATCTATTTTAGTAAGGTAGATGTCTCCTGTGTGCAGAAACTAGTGGCTCAGATATTGAGTTTTCCTGACTTTGCGTTTGGGATCCGTCACATTCCTTTAGAATCAGTAATTAGTTGCATTTCCCCCACAAGTCTTTGTCAGCTTTAGGTTAAAAAAATAGTCCCATACCATGCTGTCCCCACCTCCAAACCGCTCGATTGCTGTGGTTGTTATTGGGGTGATCTTTAAAAAGTCATGTATTTGATAACCTTTCAGATTCTTTTTTATTTCTTTTTCAGTAAATTATAGGAAATATTTTCTATAGTTGATTTCATCATAAAAACCTTTTTTTTTTTTTTACAGTTCTGTTTATGAGAGCCAGTTGACCTCACTGGAGAGCTCTTTATAATGGAGTACTTAGAGAGCCTTTTGCTTTTTACCCATCATGGGATACTTCCTGTATAACACCTTGGTGATATTTTCGTAGGTTATCAATTAGTATTAAGCCCTTATTCCTTTTATTATTAATTTTATTATACATATACATGTGTAGATTCATTTGGTTATTGACATCTGGTCTCAATTTCTGCTCTACGATGTTTTAGTTCTTTCAGCATTAGTCTATTTGTTCGTTTCAGGGTTTTTTTTTTGTTTGTTTTTTTCAAATTTGTGTGTTTTACAGACTGAGTGCAGAGTATGGAGGAACCTTCCTGTTGAACAAGCCAGTGGATGAAATCATAATGGACAATGGCAAAGTGAAAGCTGTCAAATCGGATGGGAAGGTGAAGCAGATGGGAGGCCGTAGGGGGAAATTTGAGTTGACATGTAGGGTAGAGGTACACCTCACTAAATAATATTCTCTTCCTTTTCCCCACAGCTTTTCCTCTGTAAGCAGTTAATCTGTGATCCCAGCTATGTTCCTAACAGAGTCAGGAAAGTTGGACGTGTCATACGAGTTATCTGCTTATTAAATCATCCAGTTAAAAACACTCATGATGCCAGCTCCTGTCAGATCATCATCCCTCAAGCGCAACTCAACCGAAAGTCAGGTGGATTTATTTTTAAAAACCAACTTTCTTACCCTTAATGACAAAGAGCTAGCAGATGTTTTAATCCTGAATGAATATTTGTGGATGTCTCCTTCTGTTTTGTCCATGCAGACATTTACATATGTGTGGTGTCCTACAGCCACAGTTTGGCCTCAGATGGGATGTACATCGCCACCGTGAGCACGGCTGTAGAGACCAACAATCCAGAGAAAGAAGTGGAGCCGGCCCTGGAGCTTCTTGAACCCATCATGCAGAAGTTAGTGATGTGATCAAATCCTTCTATTCTCCATTTGCTTTGCTTTTTTAGCTGAATGGTTGTAATTTTAGTATGGCTATTATAATTCCAGATTTGTGTCCACCACCAACCTGCTGGTTCCAAATGAGGATGGAAGAAAGAGTCAGGTAAAGAGAAATCAGCAGAGGCAGGCAGAATTACACAAACATCCATCAGTAGCATAAATGTCAAGTTAATAATGCGTCAGATTGAGCTTCTAAGCATCGCATTAGGATATTAAACAAGGCTGAGGTCAGGGCTTAAATCTGAACCTAATTTTCGGCCTGTTTCATCCATTGATGTCTGTTCAGGATCATGGTCTACTTTTACAACCTTTAACTCTGTTCTGGTTGGAACCATCTCAATGCTGATAAAAAAGATTCAAATAAAAATGTTTTTTATTCCACCCATCTTGGCGGCGCAACAGCACCTCTGCTACTGATCAGCTATACATGTTGCTTCAACCATCATGCTCAACAGTTGGAACAGAGTTTAAAAACCAATCTTCTGCTGATCAAAGCATACACTGTGATTATGATCAATAAGCTCAAACCTTTTCTTATTGGTTGATTTTTTTTTTTTTTTATTGGATCATGTCTCGGGAGTTCATGCTTTTATTGGCTCCCTGAGCTCAGCATAAAGTATTTAGAGAATCTAAAGTATTAAGAGAATCATGCTGATAAGTGTAAAAATTTGACTCAAAATCTTCTTTACAAAAAAAACAAAAAAAAATCTGAGTGAATGTTAAAAAGTCTGGTTTTATTTTCTTCTCTCCTCTGTTTCTCTTCCTGGTTAGATATTTGTGTCCCGTTCGTATGACGCAACAAACCACTTTGACTCAGAGTGTGAGGACATTAAAGACATGTACCGCCGGATCACAGGAGCAGAGCTCTGCTTCGGGGGACCTCGGAATCTGTCTCACGACTCCGATGACGACTGAGAGACGCCCTCCACATCAGGAAGATGTGATTGAACAGACAAGAAAAGAGTGAAAACGGCTGTGGAACACAGAGTGCAGCGTGAACCGTGACATTTAAATGTTGAAATCCCCTTCTCTACTGATTGGATTTTTATAATTTGTTGTTTGAGGAAGCTTGTAAAAGTGGAGCTGTGTAACATAAACACTTTTCCCTCCCTGTGTTATTTTTCCCCTGCATATAATAATTCCTAAATTGTATTGTAAACATATTAATAGAAAGAGATTTAGCAAAATTTCTGGGGGTTAGTTTGATAATTACTTAAAATAGCAATCATGTAGTTCTGCATGCATTACCAACTGAGACTCACTTTGAAAACATCCTTTTTGCAACTATTCCAGGTAAAAGTAGCTCAGCTGCAGACTGCTTGCGGGTTTAACTGTGATTAGGGATGAATCGAACATGTAGGGGATTTGTGGATTCTCTTCTATGCTGGGGGCTTATGTGTCAGAAGGACAAAGCCAGTGAATCATATCATATGCTGCACAGGCAACTTGTTTGCTGCAGAGCTGCTGCTGCTGCAGGAGGAGGACACACGGAGCAAAGAGGCTTATCCAGATAAAGGACAACTCACCACAAATGACCTCCTCACCTCGGCACAGGCTGCTTCACATTCCCACATATTATGTCCTTTGTTTTGTTAGTGGATTTTATTGTTTACGTGATGCTGAGCAGACTGAAAACTACAAATACAGCATGATGGAATGGTTTCAGTAGACAAAATAATAAATTAATGAAACTGGTACTTAATAAATGTATTTTTAAACACACCAGTCTATACAAATGCTTTCATTTATACACAATGATACAGTTTTACTCGACTCTTGCTTTTGCTTCGTTCTCTTTTCCTGTTTATTTTTTTGACAGATAGTATTTACTTCTAAAGTGGAATATTATACACATTTCCACAACTTTTTTTGACTTTTGAGGAAATTCTCATGTGGCTCTCTGGCTTGCATAGGAATGCCTGAGACTGACGGAGGCTGCCTCAAGCTTCAATATTCGTAAAATAGATAAGAATTGCTTTGCTCCTTTGAGCTGAAAGCCTTACTACCCTCTTACTTGGATGTGAACATATGCCTTAAAGGGCTACCACTCTTAAACTGAGTCCCAACATTTAGTCCTGCTTCACTTCCAGAGCCGTGCTGTGAGACGGAGGAATCAGACCAGCAGCCACCAATCTTCTCTCAGTGTTCAGAAAGTTGAATGTTGCACAGGCGTTTGGCTGCAAAACAGTACAAATAAATAAAAACAAGGACAAAAAAATATAACTTAGGTAACTTATTCCAATTGTTTCATCGTAACAAAATATTTTTTATTTCATAGCAAAAACAGACTGAGTGGTCTTTACCGTGTCCTGCACCTCCACAGCGATGCGTTTCCGCTTTAGCAGTGCAAAGACAGAGGGGTCAATTCGTTCGACCCGCGTTCCTGTGCCCAGCACCAGAATCTCTGCAGCAGGGTGGTAAAAAAATATATATATTTATATAGAAAACAAAAAGTAAATATTTCTAAATGAAATACGTCAGAGGAAAATTTTAAACATGCACAGACAGGAAATAAATATAGTCATTCACAAATAATGGCACATCTGTTAAAGATGTGCAGGATCTTCAAAAAAATTATTCCAGTATAGGTGCTCCAATTACATAGCAATAAAAACTAGGTGCATCTGCTCAGTAAGGGAAAAAAAACCAAATGTAAAAATACTCAAATTCACACCCGCAAATTCCTTTATACTTTGTTTTTTTTTTTACTATGTAGAACATTTTAACCAATTTGTCCCTTGGTGTATAAACAAACATTAGACCTTTTTTCATGACGTGGGTCTAGAATAAAACAAATGATGAGTATGTGATAAAGACCACTAATTTTTACTGTTAATTATTGGATCAATGATGCTGTAGGCTGGTTTGTCCTCCAAAAACATCAAAACTGCTCTCTCTTTGAGAGTGTGCAGCATCATGAACTCTTTGAAATCCTTAGACGGTTTGTATCAAAGTCTGCCTGATTCATGACGTATGATAATGATCCAATACATTTAGTCATATTTTCACAGAAACAGTGCAAACGACACTTTATCAACAATCGTGTCTCTTTCATTTTTTAGATTAGAAGCCAACTATGTACAAGAAACAAAAGGTGTTTTGGAGGAATTTCTTTTCATAAAATAATATAGAAAATTATAAAAGTTGTTTTTTATTTTTTTCTTTGCCATAATAAATTAAAAATATATATATAAAAAATAAAAAAAAGAATATGGTATATATTCATTTCATACTTATTTAGTAGTAGGGAAACGTTGAATAAAAAAAACTTTACTCCTTTCTTTATTATTTTATGAACAGAATTTTGAAAAAAATTAACGATTATATGGAGTATAAACCTTCAAACACGACGATCTCGTGTTGTATAAAGTTTCTTTATTATTGTGTGCTTAGTTTTCTATTTGATCCCTTATTGTTATTTTATTACTTTTTTAATGTCCAGTAATTTCAGCTGTATCTGGTGCTAAAGTTTAAATTGTTGATGATATCTTAATATCAAACACACTATTTTATAATTACTGGAACAGCATATGAAAGTTGAAGTAAGTGATTAGGTGAGTTAATTGATGTACCACTCTGTATAAAGTGTGTTTACGGCAACCTGAACAACAGGGAATACTTTAGCAAGGCTCTGGGTATAGGTCATATGTCTTTGTTTATTATGACTTCTACTAGAGCTAAAAGGCTGAAGGAAATACATCACTACAACAAAAAAAAAAGATAAATGTTAAACTTGGACTTTCCATAAATCATTAGTTTTTTTCAGTAAATGATCAAACATCTGTGCGATCTAACATCTGTGCGATCTTATTGTTTTTGGTCGTACCTATAGGTGGTTCAAGCATATGGAAGAGTGAGATGCTCTCTTCTGTGATGTCTTTATAACTCCCAACCTGCAGAAACAGACATTTTTTTCCCCATAACTTGGAACATAAATCTTTTAAGGGGCTGTTTGGAAAGTGATCTCACGTTCCACTGCAGGATGGCAGGAGGAATCACGGCACAGGGTCCAAAAACCCGATTTCCGTCAATGTTGAATCCTGCAGAACTGTAGCTGTGTATCAGGATCCCACTGTCGGCCTCGTTCTTTATGACAGATACTGTGGTCCGCTGGTACAGCTCATCGTCGCCCGGCTCTAATCTGTGAGCCCTACAGAGAAACGGGCTGCAATCAAAGACATGAGTAATGAATTCTAGGTCTCCATGCAACATCGCTGGCATGGTCTATGTATACTTAAGCAAATGGGTAAAGCTTCAGCACAACATGATCATAAAGTACAGATTTTTTTTTCATAATATTTATCAGGAGCAGAAAAATATCTAATTAAAATTCCACATGATTACAGGTTGAAGAGAAACTCTTAAATTTGGAGAAAATGAAGAAAAGCCAGTGGCGTAGTGGGTAGCACGGTTCTGGGTTCAATTCCTTTCTGCATGGAGTTTGCATGTTCTCCCTGAGCATGTGTGGGTTCTCTCCGGGTACTCTGGCTTTCTCTCACAGTCCAAAAAAATGAATGTTGGGTTAATTGGCTTCTCTAAATTCTCCTTGTGAGTGTGCATGAATGGTTGTTTGCCTCTGTCCAGGGTGACCCCGCCTCTCGCCTGTAGACAGCTGCAGATGGGCACCAGTAGCCCTTGCGACCCCGCTTTGGATAAGTGTGATAGAAAATGGATGGATGAAAGAAAAACCATATAGACCTGTGATTTCAGTCTGCACTTTCCTTAATTTTTTTGGAGAACAGGCAGCACAGGTCTGTCATATGAATCAGCTGCAATATACTTCTATAGCTCTCCGAGGAGTTGTTATATCATAGAGCTTGAGCTAAAGTACCTGTTAACTAATAGAAATTTGAAAACAGAAAACCTATTTCATAACTATAACATGACATTAGAATGACCTACCCTCCTAGGAGATATAATCCACAAAAAGACGACATGTACATAAGTGAATTGTTGTTTAGGGTTTAAATATTTAAGAACTTTAATGAAACAAACCTAGAAAATGCGGGTGCAGCTCTCTGGGATAATAGAAACCCCCCTGTTGATCTCTGCAGCAGCAACCTGGTGCGGACGGCAGCGGCCATGTTTGAGCCGGTGACACACTGGGGGACGGATTTCAGTGTAACACCACCCCCCTCACTGAGTAATCGAGCGTCGAAAAGTAGATTGATAGTTTGTAGACGTTGATAATAACAAAATAGACACCACCAATAATAACACAAAGATAGTCTTGACCTTTTTTTTTTTTTTTTATGAAGGACACACTCACCCTTTTTTAAACTAATTTTAGAAAGGCATTTTCTCCTTAGTTACTTCTTGTATTGAACCTCATCTTTCCCTTTGAACACATATCGTTTGGCTTCTTTGAATTTCATTCTGTAAAGATAAAGCAGTTTTATATGATCAATCTCATCATATATTTATTCAAATAGCACATCCAAAAAATTTAATGAAATAAACCAAATCTATCTGGTGAAGTCAAACAGTATATTAAGACTGTTAAATGCTTAATTATTGTAAAAGCTAATACAACTCTTGACTTATAGAGATCTTATGTAGTCTCTACAATATCTTTGTGTAGTTTAAGATTTTTAACAATTTGGTATCCTGTCTTTGAATAAATCAGAATTACTGCCAAGTAGGTCTGCACTTGCAAGGAATTTGACCTGATGTTGAAGATGCAGACAAACATATATATAAATATATATATATATAGATATATATATATATATATATATACATATATATATATATATATAGATATATACACACAGAATACAGAATATATAGATATATAGCTATATACAACACAAAACATGCAATATACTATATACAATATATAGTACATAGCTATATATTATATACAAGTAGACTGTGCATTAATGATGCAACGCAGAAGGTCTGTAGTTTCTAGGTGGTAGGGAGAGGGGGAGAGGCAGTGTCAAGTGTCACTGGGGGGCTCTGGGCCTTGTTCATAAGGCTGGTAGTGGATGAGAAGAAACTGTTCTTGTGGCGTGAGGTTTTGGTCCTGATGCACTAAAGCCTCCTGCCAGAGGAATGTGACTGAAATAGTTTGTGGCTGAAATGCAAAGGACCCGCCAAAATCTTTATTGCACGCCCCAGAGTCCTGGAGGTTTACACATTATGGAGAGATGAAAGGTTGCAGCCAATCACCTCCTCTGCAGACCATATGGCCCACTGCAGTCTGCCCTTGTCCTTTGCACTTACACCCGCGTACCAGATGGTGATGGAGGAGGTGAGGATGGACTGAACGATGGAGGAGTAGAAGTGTACCATCACTGTGCTTGCCACAAGGGCATGTTGGGTTTTTTTCAGCTGCTGCAAGAAGTGCATCCTCTGCTGGGCTTTCTTGGTGAGGGAAATTATGTTCATCTTCCACCTTAGCTCCTGTGAGATGACAGTTCCCAAGAAGTGGAAAGACTCCCCAAGGTGAATTGTGGAGTCACAGGGTGATGGGGATAGCTGGGGCGGAGTTCTTCCTGAAGTCCACAACTATATCCACTGTTGTTAGAGTGTTGAGCTCCAGAAGTTCTCCCTGCAACAGGTCACCAGATGGTCAACTTCCCACCTGTATGCAGCTCATCACCATCAGAGACAAGTCAGATGAGAGTGGTATGGTCCATGAACTTCAGAAGCTTGACAGATGATGACTTGAGGTGCTGCTGTTGGTGTACAGGGAGAAGAGCAGAGGAAAAAAAACACAGCCCTGAGGGGAACCAGCGGGAGACTTTTTCCCAGCTTCACATGCTGCTTCCTGTCAGAAACTGACCTGCAGGTGGAGTCAGGCACACTCAGCTGAGTGAGCTTCTCCTGATGCAGGGCTGGGCTTATTGTATTGAAGGCAGAGCTGAAATCCACAAACAGTATCCTGGTGTAGGTACCTGGAGGTTGTTGTTTGGTATTTTTTTCACGTTGCACCTCCTTATTTACCCTAATAAAGTAAAAAAACAAAAAACAAAAAAACAAGAACATATGATGAAAAAGAAAATAAATAACGAAGAGAATAATGTAATTTTTATTGCGACAACTTTTACCAATAAATCTGAAAAAATCTGAAAAAAAAATATCACCTTTGCTTTCATTTTCTCTCAAATATATTTGAGATATATTAGGCATATCATAGATCTGCACATACAACAATATACATAATTTGTTAAGAATTATAATTTATTAGAATATTACCAAAAATACTCCAGATGTACACTTACATTCAATTAAGTAATTAGGTGCAATACATTTGAAGCTAGAAGAACTTCCTATTTCAGTAAAAGCTATTTCTTCCTAAGTATTTATCCCAATTACAAAAATAATTGTACCATATATTTTTGTTTTGTTTTATCTGTATTAATGCTTCTAAAATTCAATAACGCAGTTTCTATAATGGAATAAAACCCGGAAGTTGCTCTGTTCTTGATTAAAATGTCTGGTAGGCGTGTTCAGATCGCAACAGCGCCCCCGCGCGGCACCCAGCACTACTACCCAGGTCAGATGACATGAACTGCTTTGTAAATAGACGTCAGCCATTCACTGTAGCCATGCCTTCCTAGGCTCTTTAAATCCTCCCCCCAACTGAGCTGATCCTTTCGCCCGGACTCGATATTCTCTCACAGCTTTTCTTGGGCCGTTTTGTCAAAGTGTTGCTGAAGCATGTACCGCTCTCTGTATGCCTTCCGATCTTCTGAGCCCAACTCGTTGCACTTCGCGGCCGGGGAGAGCTTTCTAATCCTGGAGAGGAGCAACAAACATTGGTGGTTGGGGTCCCGCTGCAGCTCGGGGGAAACCGGCTACATCCCGGCCTCTTACATCGAGAAGATTCAGGTACAGGACTCCGATCTAAAACATGTGTTTCTATGTTCCTGCTCTCTGAACGCCAAGATCTGAGCCTCTAAAGGTGCAGGCTGTTAAGATAAAGTCTGAATCAATGGAAGCGCAAAAGGACATATTCAGTGCTTTATGCCTGATGAATAAAACATAGATTAAAGGAAAGGTTACATCATGCAACCACTTTGCTTTATCTGCAGTGAATGCAGCTGCAGAGATGGGATAGAAATGAAGCTGATTGAAGCAATCTTGCATACATCATCATCAGCAGCTGTGTTTCCTCCTAACTTTTATCTTCTAAAAATCCATGATTCATCATGTTGTATCTTTTTTTCCTCAGTCACGCCCACATGAGTCCAGTAATAAGGAGTTTGCTCTTGGATGCAGACAAACTTGTCAGAGCCTGCATGCTGTCTTGGGTTTATGAGCTGGCAGAAGACAACAGCTCTCTCACTCTCTTTCTGGACTATATATGCATAATTTATAGATGCTGGAGATCGGTCTGTTTTCCAGTGTGGTCCTGTTTCTCTGACCGTGGCTGGATGTGTTCTCTTCATCCTCTGGCATGGGAGCTGGCTCAGAGCTTGTCTGCCTGGCTGTGTGTTTCCTGGACGGGGCCGCCTTTTACAGTTGCTTTTTGTATCTCTGCTTCTGTCACCTTGAACCCTAGTTGGCCTCGGCAGATGACCGCTCACACTGAGCCTGGTTCTGCTGGAGGTTTATTCCTGTTAAAAGGGAGTTTTTCCTCTCCACTGTTGCTACAAGCATGCTGAGTGTAAAGGATTGCATTTAAGTCAATGAGTCGATGCAATCAACTGGTTTTCCTTAGATAGAAAACTTTGTATCAATTTCACTGTATGATCTGGTGAACTGTAAAGTGCCTTGAGATGACTTGTGCTGTGAATTGGTGCTATATAAATAAACTGAATTGAATTGAAATAATAACCTCTAATAAGCCTGAATGTGGGGCTTTTTTAATTTGACAGGTCTCACAAAGGGTTTTGCATCATTCTAAAGGATGTAAAAAAAAATGATGTTTTTATTTTAACTTGGATATAAAATCTAAAAAAGTATGGTGTGGAAAAGCATTCATCTTTCTTTTAACCATTAGATAACATCCAGTGCTATCAGTTGCCTTGCTAAAACCAACAGTGGGATTTTTGTCCTTTATGCAAAGCTTTAAGTGTTGCCCTACACACATAATCTACTGTAAAACACAGTGGCAGCTGCATCATGATGTGGGAAGGTTTTTGGTCGAGGAAGAGCCTGGCCAGATTTGATGGTGTGATGTCTGGAATTAATACAGGTTGATGCTTGGGGGGAAAAAAAATATGTAAGAGGCTTTTAAAGTTTTGAGACCAGTGTGGAGGTTTAGTCCAGACCTGAATTAAATGTAAAATATCTTAGCTGACTGAAAAAGAAAGAATTAGATGGAATTTCAATTTTTTTAAGGTGGTAATGTCATGAGGTTAAATATGAATTCATGCCGTCCCCTGAAAGTCAAGCTACTTTGTGTTGTTATTGTAACAAAATGTTCAATAATTAACAGTTTGTTTCTGCCTATAGTCTCATATGTCCCCAGGCGATGTCCTCTCAAGTTTAAAGTTTAATAGCTATGAAGTCTGCCATAATAATGAATATTTCACCTCTTTATCCCTTGTTTAAATGCACCAGGCTCCGGAACAAGATGAAGTGCTTCAGTCCATCGACCGAGCAATTGAAGGCATCCACAATGTGGCCTTGAAGAATGGAGGCAAATATAATCTGGAGCAGCGAGATGTTCTACAGTAAGTCAGAAAGAGAACATCAGAAGCAATAGAAATTAAGGTTCTGTTTAGGAATGAATGTTCTGCGTTGCAGAAAGCTGATCCACCACAGAAAGGAGACTCTTGCTCGGAGAAGTTCCTCCTCTACAGGACACAGACTTCCATCTTCCAACAGTGAAATATCCCTGAGTCAGACTCCTCCTCCAGCCAACGGCCTTAACCAGAACTATGGGAGACAGGGGAGCGTGCCGTTATCAGGGAGCATGGACAGCATGCAGGGAGAGCCAGGCTTCTACCAGGTAACACGCTTGTACTGCACAGAGCGCTCAGCCACACGGCTCAGCATGTCATGCTTTGTTACTCATGCATTCATGATCAAAAACATCTATATGGGGTTTTAGTCAAAATAGGACATTTTTATATAATTAATCTCATTAAAATAAATGGTTTCTGTTTGCTTTTTTGGTGCAATTTGCTTGTTTCATAAAAGACTTGATCGGGTCAGAAAGACAGCGTGCTTCAGCGAGTTTCTGCTTCACTGGCTCCAGAACAGTTTGCAGTATGATGACATCGTCGCGACGCGAGATGTTTGCCTCAGTCTTTTATCTCGGCTCAGTTTTAGGGCCATAATCATGCACTTTATAAAGCCAGAATTTTAAACTGTTTTACTTTTGTATACACTTTATAAAATATATATTAACACTTTTAACTGAGTGAGATATGGATTACAAATGTTCAGTCACGATAAATGGGTTGCTAGGTTTTATTTAGTTATCTTGTTATTTTGGTCTCTTGTGTGTTTATAAGTGTGTGGGTTGTTTTTTTTTTTTTTTTGCATTTTAAATCAGCCATCATTGTCATAACACTTGATCCTGGTTTATAGCAGTAATGCGCTGAGCAGAGATCAGTTGAACCTGCAGTTTTAATGTGATTTTAGTTATATCTGGGGTATTAGGTTATGTTGCAACCTCAACTTAAATCAACAAGCAGTAAATTATAACTGTGAGTGTTGGAAGAAAATCGATTTTTAACATTTTCCAATAGAACATTTGAATAGAGTAGAAAGCCTCTGCTTGCTTTGCACACATAGATACTGACGTTTTTCAACTTTCATCTCTGTAAAAAATATTTACAGCTCGGTTAGATTGAATAGCGCATCTAGAGTAAATCTTTTTCTTTCAATCTTGCCTTAGATTATTAATGAGAATTAGGTCTGGACTTTGATTAGCCCGTCCTCAACACATGAATATAAGTTTAAATGAAAAGTCACATCCTTTTAGTTCTTGCTGCATGTTTCATTATACAGCCCCTCTCCAGAGTTTTTTTCAAGGGTTGTCTTGTATTTATTTTCATCCATCATTATGCTTCATTTCCCGTAGCATAATGCTGCAACTCTCGGTGTTCAGCATGGGGGTGGTGCATTCAGGGCGATATTCAGGGTTGGTTTTCTTCAGACTTTCCTTCTCAATAATCTTGCATAAAGGTCAGCTTAGCGGGAGGCCTAGCTGATAGTCCCTCTGCAGCTCCTCCAGATTTAACATGCTCCATCTGACTGCTTCCTTGGTTAATGGTTCTCTTACTGAGCCCAGTGGTGTAGGTTGATGACTTTGTTTGGGTAGGTTTGGGGTTGTGCCATACTGTTTCTATAGAAACCCCTCCTCTGCCTGTTTTCCTTATGCTGTTTACACCTGCTGTAACAAACCTTCACAGAAGAGCTGGTCATTTTTCCACAGATTAAATCAGTCAGCAAAAAGAAGAAAAACAATCTGTTAAAACTGCGATTTTTCTTTTACTTCTCTGGTTGGTATTACTTTGCCTCTCTCTTTCAGTCCCTCTTTATGGAGTAGAGGAATTTCAGTCTTTTAAGGACATTTTATTTTTGTGGGAGCAGTGGAGAACATGCTAACACAGCTCCGTCCCTTCTCCTCTCTGCAGGTGCCACCTCAGCCTCGCCGTGCCGCTCCGATTACTCCTCCTCCCCCTGAGAAGCAGAGAAACACGCGTCGTCCAGGTCAGACTTATAGTTCCTCCAGCTGTCAGCTCCAAACTGCGATGCAGTGTGTTTTTGCCGATGCTTCCTGCTGCCTGCTCTATTCTTAGTCAGGTCACCCCTGTTCAGCTCCCCTGTAACTGGAGCCCTGTCCCTCTCTGCAGAGCCGGAAGTCCCCTCCAGAGTTTCCTCTCTTCCCTCGTCCCCGGCTCCCTCCCTCACCATCAGCACCACCTCCACTGAGTCCACCTCCTCCTCCCGTTTCTCTTTGGCCACCTCAGATGTCAGCCTGCCAAGCGTCTCCAGCACCCCCCCTCCTCCTGTGCCGTCTCGTGTAAAGCCCCCCGTTGCACCCGCAGATGTGCAGCCATCGGACTCTCCTCCCATGCAACCTCCTGTGAAAAAAAGCCCAGCACCACAGCCCCCTGAACCCACCCCTACCGACACCACTCCAGTACATCTTTCTGTGGAGGACCCACCAGGGCCGGAATGGCCCGCGGCCCCCCTATCCGTGGCAGAGACCCCTCCTGGCAGCCCCTCTGCTTCTGATCCACTTCCTACGACTGTGGGAGCTGAGCTGATCGAGCTGGTGCGGAAGAACACGGGCCTGAGCTTTGAGCTGTCCCGGGTGGCGGTGGGAGTGGTGGTGGGCCACCTGCAGACCGCTCTGCCTCAGGCCTCCTCTGCTCTGGAGCAGGTTCTTCTATCACTGGTGGGGAGCAAGGTCAGGCTTGTTTTCATTGCATCATGTGGATTCAGCATTCCTGAGCTGAGCTTGAGTTTAGAGTTACAGGAGCCTGAAACAATAACGGAAACGGCCAACTACCCCTTTTTGGTGGTTATGATTACTTTTTAAATCATAAACCAAAATCCACAGTTATTTCTCCTATTTTAGCCAATAATAATTAGCTTAACAAATTAAATTAAATTGATCTTCTACATCCCCCAGCATCTCTAAATCCAACCCAATACCCATAGAAGTATCCTTTTTTTAACATTTTGTCAAATTAAACTATATACTTGTGGATTTTATTGTAGAATTATATTTGTTATACCAGCTAAATGCAGTTGCAAGCCTTTTGAATCATGTCTCTGCCAGATCCACACATCCAAAAACATTTAGTTTTAGGTCTTGCTTTTGACTGGGCCATTGTAGCACTTCATATACTTTAGTCTTAAACATTTCATTGTAACTCGTGTTATATGTTTATATTCTGTTGGAAGATGAACCTCGAGGATTTTGAGGCCTTTATTGGGTTTATCCATCTATCCAGCTGTCCCTGCTGAGGAGAAGCCTCCCCGTAGCACCATGCTGCCACCACCTTGTTTTAACGTTAGGATGGTGCAAACAGAGTCATAGGCAGTGATGGTTTTCTGTAGGGCTGGGTGTTATATTTGATAATAATTAAAACACTTATCATAAATTTTTTGTTGTTCTTAGGTAACTGTATGGCTGTGACTGCAGGTCACAACAATCAGAGCCCCACAATCACTATCGCTACACTTGTAACCACATTTATTTATAGTCTTAGAATTTACCAAATATTAAAACTAAAATTTACCCATTTTATGTTTTTTTTTAATCATTAAACTTGTTGTTTAGAGCAGTGATTTTTAAACCAAACTAGTTTTCTGCCACACATAGTGTGTGACACATAGAACAAATAGATCTGTGTCTCATTCTTTGACATGCTTTCAGTATTTGAATTATAATCTTTCTTTATTTATCATTTCACAATAATGAACTACTCTCTTCCAGTCTGTTTGCAGCTGCAACTTAAGAAAGTGAAAGGTTGAAGGAATTTAATCAGAAACATTGGCTGTAATTCATATCTTTGTAGGGGGCATGATAATGCAGAAAAACTGACAGCAGTCAGCCTTGTTGGCAGCCTGCTTGCAGACGCTGCATTGCAGAGGAAAGAAGAATCCAGAAAAACAGCGTCAGAATGACGGCTTCATAGCTGCTTCAAGTTAACATCTCTGATGTGATCAAAGCATCATTGGCTGATGCTGGCGTCAGTGTGTTCAGATAAATTTGGTTTTCTTTTTTCAGCTTTAGCAGCTTAGACAAAAACCTCTAAAAATACACAGTGTGCGCTGCGTGCTGGAGCCCAAAAACAGAAGTGAAATATCAGTTGCTGCGAGGTGTTAAATTTAAAGCTCAACATCAAAATCAGCAACCTGATTTTATTCCACTTAGTTTAGTTAACAAATAGGCTTGACTAAAACATCATATTAAAAAGGATACTTGAAGGACATAACTATAGATTAATGATTTTTTTTCCACATTTAGCAAAGATTTAAACAGTGATGAATTACAGCTGCTTATATTGCCACCTGGTGGCCAAATGTTTCATCAAAGCAAGCGTTAATAAAAGGAAATGCTGTTTTATTTTTAAAAGACATGTATAGATAAACAGAAATGTGGGTAATGGCTAGTTACATTTAGTCAGATATACTAAAATAGTTTTTAAGATAATAGCTATTCTTACTTAAGCAAAATTTCTAGTTACTCTACCCACCACCAGTAATAGTAAAAATATTGTATATAGCAGCCCTTTATCCGCTCCTAACATATATACTTACTGTTAAAGTGGTTTTATAAATTTATAATGAACAAAATTATGTGAAAAAGACTTTATTCTGCACAAATTTGTTGTTTTGCATTCATATAATCTATTAGTATGTTTTTTCCTTTTATTTTGTACTTTAAAATAAAAGGAATTTGCACTCACCCTTTTTTTAGGTACTTTTTAGGAACAATTTTTTTTTTTAATCACAAGTACACAAAAGGTACTCTGTGTGTGTAGGGGAGGTGGGGGTACGGTATATATGTTATTCTGCCTTTTTATGATGTTTGCACACAGAACATAGGGTTGATCATCTAGTTTTTATCGTCCTGCAGGACCTGAGTGCAGCGCTCCCACAGGGTCAGGTGTGTCATGACGAACAGCGTCTGGAGGTGATCTTTAGTGATCTCACTCGTCACCGTGATGACTCCCAGCAGCGCAGCTGGGCACTGCACGAGGACCACGCCCTCATCGCCTGCTACCTGGAGGAGCTGCTGAAGATATTGGTAACCATGACACTAGGTTCCAGCAGAGCTGTCTTCATCCATCCCTCCAGCAGCCAGACAGCTTTTATTTATCCTTTGCATCGTTTCCTGCCTTTCTCCCTCATATTCTTGCATATTCTTTTGCTTCTGCTGGTTGTGTATTTAAAGCCTTTACTGAGCAGAATTGTCTCCTGAGAACTGGATAAAGAAAGAAAATACTGATAAAAAAAAAAATGGAATTTGATAATTAAAAGGAACCCCCTCATAATTAAGAATTGAAAATTGTCTCACGTATCGTAGTAAAACCAGAGCATCTTAATGTTGTCTTTCAGCTGATCATTCAGGGTTTTTTTCTGTCCTGTAATGAGTTCCTGAGATTAAGAATAATAGATTTTTCTCTGTTCATTTGCTCTGTTTGTTTCCTCAGACTGATGCAGATCCAGAGGTGTGCAGGAGAATGTGCAAGTCTAATGACTTTGAAAACGTGATGTCTCTGGTCACATATTATCAGATGGTAAGATATAAAAATATTTCCTTTATTTTTTAGACATCAATCTGAGCTTGAAGTAGGTCTTGGCGTTAGACTTGTCAAGAGATAATCTTTTATTTGTCAGCGTGTCTCACTCAAGTGTTTTGTCTGTAGCCACGTCAAGCTGACCCACAACTTGTGCCTTGATGCTTGTCTGCTAAACTTTTTCTCACCGTTTGGTTTCCTGAAGGAGCATCGCGTGTCTCTGCGGCTGCTTCTGCTTAAAGTGTTTGGAGCGATGTGCAGCCTGGATGCAGCTCTCATCTCAGCGCTCCTAAACTCCATCCTACCCATGGAGCTGGCCAGGGACCTTCAGACGGACACACAGGGTGAGGAACTGTCTCTTTTCTCAATTTAAAAGCAAACCATCTCGGTGTGCATTTTAAAAGCATTGGTTTTCTAAAGCCGGGTTCATCTCACCACAGTTATATTTTATTTATATGCACACCTTTTTAAGGCCTCCTTCGCATTTGTAAGTTTAGCAACAAGAAATAACTGAGACATGTTCATCAATTTGGGTTTTTTTAAAATACAGAAATATTAACCCTTTAATACCAGAGATAATAATAAGCCTAAAAAAGCCACTGTGGGCTTGGCCACATTGCTCCAATAAACTGTTTAACAAGCGTAAACGCCTTTATATTTGAATGTGGAGACAGATCGGACCATATTAGTACGCAGAACTGATCTTGGGAGGCATCTTTGTAATCTGATTGGCTGTAATACACGTATCTGAGGGCAGTAGCTGTTTAACAAGACCCTAAAGATCTCAGAATGGATTAAATAGAATTAACAAATGTAAACTTGCTGAGTGAAGACATGTTCATCACAAATTGTGATGTCGGTAATGCAGTCAGACTAAAAACTGCCAATAACTGATCTAATTTAGGAGAGGATGCACACTAATTGTATTCCTCATTGCATCATGTTACAGCCTTGATAGAGAAACTTCAGTTCAGAAATCCCTGTTAATGAGGATGCACAGTTTGATCAGCAGTGGATAAAGGTTTAATGCTTTAGGTGATGTATGAGAGGAGTGATTTAGACAACTTTTATTGTCATTTTGTATGCACAGGGTGTACAAAACGATTTTTTGTTTTGTACTGCTTTCAGACAGTGGATAAGCAGCAGCTTAGCAGCGAAATGAACTTTGCAATTTCATTAGGTGCAGCATTGAACAAAGAACATTGTGCAAAAACACATTGATATAGAAGTTCAGAGCATTTCAAGGCAAATATATATGATGCAAATATGCAGTATTGTGGTTTGGTATTATCAGTGTGATGCAGAGTCTGTGACTGAAGTGGAGTGAAGTGCCACTATGGCAGCTGCTGTGTCATTTTCCTACCTCCTTAAATATCTTAGACGTAAAAGTTTCATAAGAGCAAAATAAAATGATGAGCAGGAAAACCTGACAACTCAGCTCTGAAAGAAATGCTCCAAAAAATGTTGAATGAAGAGAATTATTTAGAACTTCACTATATCTCTGAAAGTTAAGACTTTGGGCCTAGGAGGAGGATTTCAGAGGAAGATTCACAAGAAACATGTAGCTTGTCCTGTAAATTGTCCATAAACGAATGTCTAAACAGGACTTGATTCCAAATATTATTGCAGATTTATGTGATAACAGTGAATATTAATCAATACAATGGAAACATGCCTGTGTGTTCAAAACATGAAGTGTAGAGGAGCACTGGTTCACTGCAGAAAAAAATATTTTCAAATATTTTCAAACAACTATTATTGCAACCAAAATAGTTTTTGATTGGCTTATCTCCAGAAAAAAAGTATGCTAAATGTTAACAGACCTTCATAAACCTCAGCTTGCTTTTTGCCAGAGGATTTATTGCTTAAAAAAAAAAAAAGCTAACCAGTCGATTCTGCAGATGCTGTCTGCTCTCTTGCCAAAGAATTGTTGAAGAACAACAGGGTGACAAAATCACCTGATCTTCATGATAACAATACTTAGCTACAAGTTGTTTCATTATTTCATATATATATTTGCTGTTCTCGATCTCTTCAGAGTGCCCCTTTTTTAAACATGATAATTTCATCCAATTTATTGATAAAGAATGTCTTTTAAAGTGTTACATCTTTACATTTCTCTCACTTTTTTGGTTTTGTTTTTTCTACAGAACACCAGAAGATGTGCTACACAGCTTTGGTACTAACTATGATTTTCTCAATGGGAGAGCAGCTGCCGTATCACCACTATGGTATGATACGTCTCCTTGTTTGCACTCTTAGTGTGCACTCAGATTGAAGCTTGCATTAAAAGCACTGTGTGAGCAGATCTATAACTGCAGATGCGTCTGTGTTTGCAGAGCATCTTAGTGCTGAGTTTGTTCGGTTTCTTTTGGGTGTGGTGGAGGACGGGCTTCCCTCTGATCCCACTGAGCAGCTGCCGGACATCTTCCTGAACCTCCTGCTGGCCTTCAACCTGCACCACACAGGTCAGAAACTCATCAGGACATATTTTAAATACCTATTGAAACAACACAAAACTATTCTGTCTGTTATGGGGATATTTGTACGTTTGTTGTTGTTTTATCAGAAATATCTGTTTACAAATAAAATACATGTCTGTTTTAACAGTACCAAGCAACAATGCAATAATGCAGGAGCTGAAGCAAAAAAATGTTAAGATCCTCACAGAGAAAGTGCTGCTTCTGCTGAACAGAGGAGGTACCATCCTGCAGTTATATTCTTCTTTGTTATAAGCTCTGACATTTATTTTGCTGAGTAAAATTTCCTTTTCTGTTTCCTGCAGAGGATCCAGTGTGCATGTTCAAACACACGCCGCCTGCACCTCACTCTGTTCTAAAGTTTCTGCAGGACGTATTTTCCAACCGAGAGACTGCCGACATCTTCTATCGCACCGACATGATGGTGATGATTGACATCGCCGTCCGACAGATTTCTGACCTGTCACCTGGAGACAAGGTGAGACTCTCCTCCCAGCAGAGGACCCAGCAGGCAGGCACTTTTTGGAGACGAATAATGGAGCCTGTAAACCTGCTATTTAGTGCAGGTGACATCATGTGTCAAATATCTTATAAAGCCAATCTAAAAACTAATTTATTTGAAAAAAACAGGGGAAAACATTAGTAAGAAATATGTTTAATATTAAAATCATCAAGATACCACCAAATATTCTTTCATTAAATAGAATATAATAATGAATAGTCTAAAACGAATTTAAAGTTTGTTTGATAATTAATTTTGATTACAGGAAGTAGGCTGAATAAACTCAAAGCAACACGTCACCAATGATCTGAAGACAGTCATGAAAAGATGAGTCAGAAAAGGGAGTCCTGTGAATCAAAGAGTAAAATAATACGTGTTGAACCACAAGAGACTGGCCTCCCAAAATTACTCCAAAAACACATGCAATGATTCATGAAGCGTGTCACTGAAAAACCCAGAACACCGCAGGCCTCTGTAGTCTCAGGAAAGGTGTTGATGATTGAACAAAAATCAGAATCAAGTTAACTGCCAAATAGTAGGTTTGCACGTACAAGGAATTTGATTTTGTGTTGATGGTTGATGGTGCAGACAAATTAGATATTTATACAGAATACAAGATCTCTAGCTATATACGATATAAAACATACTATATACTGTATTTAATATATAGTACATATCTATGTACACTATATACACAGTAGACTGTGTGTGTTAATGTAACACATTAGAGAT